TACATTGTCTCATATTATAACCTTATAAAAATTTTTCGAAAAACATATCCCAACTTTCTCCAGACTATCGTTCCATTCTATGGAAATGACCAGGAACCGGAACGATAATGGAACGATAATCTGGAGAAAGTCGGAATACGTTTTTCGATAAATTTTTGTAGGGATGATTAAATGAATATTTTTATTGACACACATATATCCATTTTTTTTACAATCTGTAAACCCATATTAAGATGATCTAAAAAATAGTGCGCAATTATTACAGTCTTATATTGATACCTTTTCCAGACATTTCTTTATTCATGAGAAATTTATTCCAATTATCCGTGTCACTGCACTTGGCGTATCAAATAATGAAGATTCGAACTTACCTGGTACAATTTCTTTATTTAACTCTACATTATTAAAAAAACTCTTACTATTTGTATCATTCATCGTTGTTGTAATGTTTGCAGATATGCAAGTAAATTTGACCTCATACACAGATGGTCGTACACGGATAGTAGAAGTAACAAAAAATATGGCTGAAGACATAATACAAGGGAAAATGAAAATCGATGAGTTGGATATAGGAGAACTAGATCGTCGATTGAGTGGTTTGTGAAGTGATTGTATAATCTAAAATTCCATTTTTCATATTCATTTGTTATTTTTTTTAAATTCAATACAGTAGCCCAATTCTCTGAACCTCAACTTCTCATACTCTTTTCACCAAAAATTGAGCTTGAAGGCTTTCCACCTTGGCATATTCATCTTACTGAAATATTGTAAGTTTATTAACTATTATAGTTATGATATTTTATAATCATGAAATCATATTTATGGATTTAAATTCAATTATATAATTTGACAAAGTCACATACCAGGAAATTCCAGTTTTCATTATAGCATTTTTATAAAAGGATTACATAAATATTCAAAATGTGATCAAAGGTTTGGTCAATAATATACATATTGAAACATTTAAAAATCAAGTTTATTTTAAAAAGGTTGAAGAGGTGTAGAAAATATTATTTTTCATGTGAACCAATTCTTGAAATAGAATCTTTTTTTTAGAAAAAAATAGAAAACTTATATAATATATTAAAAGGAGTTCTTAAAATAGACCTAATATTTGCTATTAACCTAAATACACTATATAAACAAAATTTATAATTATATGATATTTGAATTAGGATAAAATTTTTAAACTCTAGGTTTATGCTAAAATTATTTTTTAGATTTTTTATTTATGCAGTTTATTTATTAATATTATAGTATCATCTCTGGATTAATATATATTAAGAAAAAAAATCAAAAATATAAACAAGCTAATTGGTAGTTTTTGAAATATTTATCTGAACCTTTTAGACAAAGTGTTAAAAAAATCTTTATATAGTTTAGAATATCACATAATGAAAATATTCTTAAAAGTTTGTAACAGAATATATGATATTATCAATAGAAACTAATTATTTCTAAGTAAATTTTTTAAACTTTGAATTAAAATATCTTGACAATGATTAAACCAAACTTAATAAAAAATTTTAGTTTAATTCTATAGTTATAGAATTAAAATAAAAAATTTTTTATTAATAATTGTTGAGATATTTTAAGTTTAAAAAAAATTATTAAAAATTTGCTTAGTTTCTATTAATACCCCATATTATTATAATCCTCTAATTTAATATTAGTCAGATTTGCTACTATTACTATTATATTTTTACAAAAGTTAAATATCACACCATTATGTGAACTTTATGAACTTGCTATATACGTTAAAGTTCTTTGTTTACTCACATTATAACATAATAATTGATATTAAAAAATTTATCTATTATAAATCTATTATAGTAAAATATCTACTATAATATTATATAGCATAATAATAAACTTTTAAATTGTTAAAAGATTTCTCTTTTATAGTGAAAATAAAGTTCATTACAACTAGAGATAATCTTTAGAAAGACTAAATAAAGTTTAATAGGTTCTATAGTTATTCGATTACAGTTTTGAGACTAGTTCAAACTAGTTTAAAATAGAGACAAATAATTTTTTGTATTATACTAGATAAACTAGAACTTAATATTAGTTATATATTTTTTAAAAAAATAAAAATTGTTTTTTATATGTTGTACCTAGTAAACTAGAATTTAATAGTTATATTTTTAATTAAATATTTTTTTATTGTACTGTACTCAGAAATAAAAAGTATATTTTTATTTAAAAAATAAAATATTTAAAAAAATTTTTATATATTCAAAATGATATTATAGTTCAAAATTAGCAAATAGCTTAAAACTATAATTCAAAACTTAATGTATTTATTTAAAGTTATTATATGGCCTGCAAAATAAAATTTATAAATATTTGTTTTATATTTACTATATATTTAACAGATCTGGTCTATATTTTAATTTTTATAAACTTTTTTAATTTTTATCTTATTATAATGAAGTAATTATACTAGAAAATTTTATTTATCTATTATAATAAATATTTACTATCCCTTAGATTGTAACACAGGCAAATTTGCCTGCATATTTTAAAATTTTTAATAAAATTTTAAATATTGA